GCGGCCGGGGCCGGGGCGCGGGCCGGAGACGCCGGAGGGCCGGCGACACCCGGGGAGGGACGATGAAGCGGCAGAATGTGCGCACGTTGGCGCTCATCGTGTGCACCTTCACCTACCTGCTGGTGGGCGCCGCCGTGTTCGACGCGCTGGAGTCGGAGCCGGAGATGATCGAGCGGCAGCGGCTGGAGCTGCGGCAGCTGGAGCTGCGGGCGCGCTACAACCTCAGCGAGGGCGGCTACGAGGAGCTGGAGCGCGTCGTGCTGCGCCTCAAGCCGCACAAGGCCGGCGTGCAGTGGCGCTTCGCCGGCTCCTTCTACTTCGCCATCACCGTCATCACCACCATCGGTAACTACACTCGCCGCGCCGGAGGGGACGGGGGCGGGGACCTGGGATGCTGGGGAGCCGCCCGCCGCTGAGGGGGTCCCTGCGGAGCTGGGCGGGCCGCCGAACCCGCGCGCTCCCAGCGGCCGGGGCTCAGCCCCGCGTGTCTGCTCTGCCGGGGGGACCCCTGACTCCCGATCTGTCTCCAGCCCGGGCCAGCCCTAACTTGGCCTTGGCCGGGTTGTGCGAGGACCCCCAGGGGACTCAAGTGTGTGAGAGGGACAGGAGCAGCCCCGGCCGAGGCTCGGGAGGAGGGGTGTGGCCGGGCTAGGCCCTGGGGCTGGGTGCCCGGAGTGAGCAGCCCCGGGAGCGTGCCACTCCTCCGTGTCCCTGACGCTGGGCTTGGGCACCCGGGTGTCCACACCTGCTGGGCTGTGGGGAGGCCCGTACATGCCGGAACGCTGCACTCCGCGGACACACGGGCCACTCTCTAACTGCGACTGAGTGCTGCTGGGGAGGGGGGGTGGGGTGCGTGTGTCCGCGTGGGTGTGGGTGTGGGTGTGTGAGTGTGTGTCCATCTCCATGAGTTTGGGCTGCACCAGACAGGGCCTGTAATTCTCTGAGGGCAGCAGAGCAGGGGCTGGCAGCCAGATTCGGTCCTGTTAGCTTTCTTTCCCAGTGTCCCAGCAAAACAGTCACCTCACAGGAATGGCTCCACTTCTTTTCCAAAGCCAGGGCAGATCAGGCTGTAGGAGGCCACACGCACACCCAGATCCTCTGAGAACATGGCACACAGG